TCTGGCTTTGGCTTCATGAATAGAGATGGAAAATTTGACTATTGGATAGAACTCTACGAAATACCAGATGCTATATTTGAGCAGAGCTTCTCTGGGTAAATAAATTACACTTAAAAATATGTACCAAGCCTCAGTGAGGCCACAATAGTTCTACAGAAAATATTTCAAAATAAAAGTGCAAAAAATGAACGTCTTAGGGATTCATAAAGAACTTTTCATATTTAATCAGGATACACGTTCAGAAAAGCTCAGATGTGGTACTTTTGCGGGGTACAGGCGGGGAGTGGAGTGAAGAAACAGCAATAGAAATTGACCTAGAATTGGAAATGCAGTTAATAAAACACGTTTGGATGGGTAGGCTGATTCCAGTTCCCTATCTAGGTCACAGGTATATCCAGGAAAAGCACTCTTGCACATAAAATACTGTCAGCCTGTAAGATTTGAAGGTCAATGGCATTGTCTGGGGTTATAATATCTCCATCTAATTCTTTAGGGGCAGGTGATATTGAAATCAGTAATTTTAAGAAAAAGGTCCAACAAATTTAAGAGAATATAATATTACATGAAAAAAGTACACAAAGATTCAACAACACATGCAGTAGATTTTGTTTTATTTTATCTGTTTGTTTTGCTACTTGTATATTTCTTAGACCTGCTGTGACCACATGGGATTTTGGCCTCCTGGAGTGCTGCTGAACTATCTATAGTGACCTGACCGTGAAATTCACCTGAGAACGGGTCTTACTGTAATACTAACGATTAGATGATAGTTTGTTACCCATATTCCTACTGTTTTGCCTTTCAAAGCAAATAATGTATTCCAATTTAATATAACTAGAGAACTCAGTGTTTAATAAAAATATCACAGTCACAGTGGGTCCTTTTGTGCTTAAACTGAAGGGTTCCCAGTCATTTCTTAATCAACAACTGAAGTTACAGACCTAAGCAATTATGTTTTAGGAAAACACAAACTTTGTTCAGTATTTGTTCAGCTGCTTCTTCTCTGAGGGTTTTCTGGTGGACTTTTTTTTTTTTTAATGGAGTGTGGACAGAAATGTTTTTAGATGACTTAATGTGAGGCTTATTCATAGCATTACTTAGAATTATATGAATGTCAGGGGTGTGGTGGTATTTTCCCATTTGTTCTGTTGGAGTGAAAGACTTAAAGCATTTTCTCCCAAGGTCTGATAAATATAAATTTTAAAATAACTTATAGACTATGACTCAGGAGTGGAAAATCTGCAGCCTTGGGGCCACATGTGGCCTTCTGGATCCTTGAGTGCAGCCTTTTGACTGAATCCAAATTTTACAGAACAAAAATAAAGGGATTTGTCCTGTGAAGTTTGGATTCTGTCAAGGAGCTGCACTTGCATATACTATGTATATGTAAGGGGTGCCTCTGTGTGTGTGTGTGTGTGTGTGTGTGTGTGTGTGTGTGTGTGTGTTGGTGTATATATATGTCTGTGTCTGTGTGTAGGCTATAACAGTTACTACATCATTGCTTGACTTTACAAATAGTTAACATTGCCATAGAACACTTAAAAAAAAGTATTTTGTAGATTGTGATGCTGAGTCAGAAATTTTTCTAGAAGGTAATATTTTATTACAGAATTATAAATTATTCTTCAGAGGAAACCACTAGTAATCTTAATAATTGTTTATAATACACACTTGTACATAATTTCAAGTAGGAGAAATTAATTTGTAGTCATCAATCCAATACATTTTTTTAGATATGGGTTACCAAGTACAGTATATCATTTCATATGATTTATAAATGAGACAAAAATGCCAAATTTTCCCACATGTAAGGACCTATTAAAAGATCTAATCCAAAACAGAATGTCCTTAGGGAGTAGAATCAAAATGATATCATTTAAAAATCCAAATATCTATGGAATCTAAAATTTTTTGTATGTTATTAGAAAAGTGGTAATAGATTGAAAACTTAGAGCCCTTTTTTATACAAAGATACATTTGTTATATACCATTCCACCATTCCATTATATCTTACTATGTTTCATAGTAAATTAAAGCACTTACTTTTATAGACTGTGTTGCCAATGTATCAAATACTGTGCCATGAAATCTATGAGTGATCCAGCTTCCTTATACTATTAATATTTTGTACTTACAGGCAAGGATGAACTTTGAGAGTTTGAATTCACATTTTTATGAAAATTCTGAATAATATGTTTTAAACCACACCTGGGTGTGGTATTTTACCCAGTATATATGTAAAATTTGACACTGTTACTTTTGGTTGTATGATTGTACCTCTTTTTTTCCCCTTTTTTTTTCTTCTGCTATTCTGAGGTGGGTTTCCAGCCACCTCTCCACAGGTTTCAGTTTATAACCCAATATAAACATGCTTTAATATTTTAAAGTAATCCTATTCCCAGGGCTGGTCAGCTTTCCCCTCCCCCACAAACAATTTCCTCCTCCCTGATTCAGTTATTTATTGCTATGTAACAAACTACCACAATACCTAGCAACTTAAAGCAAAAAAAAAAAAGTACGTTATTTTTCAAGATTTTGTGGGTTGCCTGGTCTCGGTTGGGCAGTTCTGCTCCACGTGGTATTATGTGGAGTCACTCATGTGATGCATTCAGTTGGGAACTTAACTGGGGCTGGAACACGCAAGATAATTTTACTCATGTGTCTGGTGCCTCGGCTGGGGTGGCTGGAATGGTTTAAGGATAGCTAGGCCTCTCTCTTTCTGTATGTAGTTTCTTATCATTCAGTAGCCTAGTGAGTTTCACTATGTGGTGACTGGATCCCAAGTCAGGGAAAATAGAAGCTGCAAAGTCTCCTAAGGCCTGAGCCCAGAAATCACACAGCATTACCTCCCAACATTCTATTGGTCACAACAAGTCCCAGGGCCAGCCTACATTTAAAAGGAGGGGATACAGACATCATCTCTTGATGGTAAAAGTGGCATTGAATGTACAGAAATGGGGGAATTGTTGGTGGCCGTATTTGCATACAATCTACTACTCCATATGCAGAAAAAATGATGCCAAATGGACTATTTTGCTTGAGAGTGTGTGCAATGAAAATATAAATTTAAATTATCAGTACCTATTGTTATGTAACATAGCAACACTTTTGGCTTATACCTCCTGGAGCTGTGAAGTTCTTTGTAATTTATTAAACTTAATCATCAATCCTGATTACTTCCCCTTCCTCCCTCACCCCCTGCCAAGTAAAAGTAGGAGGTTATCTTTACTCTTTTATACATGGAACAACTGGCTGATCAACAGGAGTCTTAAAGAAATGATTTACCAACTTTCGAAAAATTGTAACCCATCTTGAGAAATATAGTTTACACTGTAGCCCAGGACATGCAGACACAGAGATATTCACCCACACATAATACCATAGAAATGTTTCAGGAAGAATACTTATCCTCAAGTTGTGCTATGAACTCTCTTTTTGTTCTGTTCTGTTTCAGTCAATTGACAACAACAAAATGTTGGTTGTCACCCACAGTTATTAATTTTTTATTTATTGTGTAATTAATTTCATTACCTACCAAATGGTTCTACGCTATATCTTATGGTCAATGGAGAATAGAATATTATTATTATTATTATTATTATTATTATTTTAAAAGCCAGTCAAATTTAGCAGTGGGGGGTTGTATACCAACTTTAGTGACCTGGATGTTAATAAGTTCTGATAACCCACTACCATCAGACCAGCCAGAGAATAGAATATGAAACACACTAAACTTTCAGCATAGGAATTGTTTTTCAGGTGTGGCGCTGTGAGAATACGCCATATGTAATTTTCAATCAGGCCAGTTTGGTTATAGAGCAAAAAGCTCTTTCATAAATAGGGCCTGATCTCCCTACTCAAGAGGCTTCATAAATTCTTTCAGTGGGACATAGGGGTCCAGGGGAGGAATGTGTACAGTAAGTGTTGTGTTTATTTTGGTCCTGTAATAAAGTACCTGATTGTTTGCTTGGAGCTACATGGAGCTAGGTTTGAATTCCAACTTCACAACTTACTACTTTGTATTCTTAAACAAGTTATTTAAACTCAGTTTTGGAGTCTTGGTTTTTTGATTTGTTAAAGTAATACATAACTAATATCTACTTTTATTGAGTTGTCAGCATTAAACGAGAACACATACACAAATGCTCAGCAAAGTATTTGGGACATCCAAAACACTCATAATTCATTTATTGCTTCCTCTCCCTACAATGGATCACAAACCCCTGAATTCAGTTATTTAGTTTATGTGTTTTATATTTTTGGAGGAAAGCTAAGCTTTGGTATAATACCTGCTATAGTCAAACCGTGTTATTTCTTTAATGCAATTTAATTTCTGCATGGATTATTCCAATATTCTATCTAATAATAGTTTATAGCTATTATTTTAGGATATGGATGTGAATTATGAGATAATTTTGTGTTCTCAAGTCTCATATAGTAAGATTTGGATTAATTTCCCAGTTATCAACACAATCATGGAAAAATGTCCTAACAGAGAAAAACATTTCTAACTGCTGTGTAGTTAATAGCTGAAAAAATAAACATGACTTGTACTACTTTTCTCCTTGGGTCCTGTATTCAAGGTTACCAGAGTTCTAAAGACCCCAGGACCGGTAGGATTTTCATGATTGGTTATTTAGCTTTCAAGGAGTCAAAGGCAAATACCTACGTCCTAGGTTGATATGATCATCTCATATATCCCGGCTGGTGGATCTCTAGGATGGGGCTGGTCAGTTTAAAATTTCTGCCTTTAAGGCTGCGGGTTTGTGTGTGGGAATGAGGGAAGGAGGCCGTGACACATTTTCCCCCCTCCAGTTATGCGACCCAGTCTTGTGCTGCCGCCGCCGCCGCCGAGACAGTTCCCACGTGGCAGCTTCAGATGCGGGACCGCAGACCCCTCCCTCGGCTCTCCGGCCCTCCCCGGCGGCCTGCGTGGGCGCCCGATCGGTCCTCCACCGCCAGGGGGCGGGCGCGGCTTCCCGGCGGCGGGGGCTCATTGGTCGCGGCGGGGCAGCGTGGGAGGAGGCCCAGAGGCGAGCTGGCTTTCTCCTGGCCACTCGCCGGGGTGAGGGGAAGCCGGAGGATCCCGAGAGGAAGCGGAGGCGCGGGCTGGAGGGGGCCGGTTGCGTCGGCCTCCAGCAGGACTGACCGCGGGGAGGCCGGAAGGCCGGCGGAAGGCCGGTGAGATGGACGGGGAGGCGGACGGAGCCGCGGCTGAGGTGGGGGAGGGATGGAGGGAGGCTGGGGGAGCCGGACGCCCACCTTCACCCTCACCTTCCGCGCACCCTGCGGTCGCCGGCCGGGGGCGGGCCCCGGGGCGCGTCCGCGTCGTCACGCGCGTGCGGCCGTGGGGAGGGCGCAGGCAGGACCAGGGTCCCCGAGCGCGTTTGGCCGAGGGTCCCGGCCGCCGCCCCGGCATCTCCTGTCGGGCGCCCCCTGGCTCTGCGGAAGGCGGGGCGGCGTCTGCACCTGGCGCTGGGGCTCGGCGCTCCGGCCCGGGGCTGGCACCTGGAGCGCGCCTCCGACGCGGTTCCCGCTCGCGCTCTGCGTGGTGTAGGCGCTCTGAGGCTGGGATGGAGTTGGGTGCTGCATTTGAACTCCGTGGAAGGCCGTCTTGACTCACTTGTGAAGTTTTAGTATCTCCTAAACTGGAAGTCCAGTTTATTTCTACAACCTATTCAGTCATTTGGTGTTCGGTGTCATTTCTTTTTCTTTTCGTTTGGTGACTACTATCCCACAGTTATGTACCATGTATGACGATTAGTGCCCATAGATCTAATACTACAAATGACGGCTTGATGATTTGAGATTGAGCTCTCCAGCTGTTTGGGGGCGGAGATGATGTTTTCATCACCTTCTACCTTTAAAAAAATGGTTTCCTGTAAGGGAGATCTGCTATTTTAATTGATAGAACCTTTTTTTGGTTTATTTAGTTAAATATGAGTACAATGACAGTAATATTAGATTGCTTAACTAGATACTAGGCACTGTGCCAACTGCTTTCCTGTGCACGTTTATTTAATTCTCACAACAGCCTCAGTGAATAGGTCCTTTTATCTGTCTTTCCAATTTTACACATGTAAATGTAAACTCCCAGAGAGGTTAAAGGTTGGTGCTGACAGCAGATCCCCAGACCTTTGGACTTGTGACTACCTTATAGGACTAGTGGTGTACTGTTACATTTTCCAAAGTTTCGAAAACATTACTGTTATTCATACAGTATAAACTCTTTATGTGAAGTATAAAGAGATCCCCGTTTAACTTAGAAAATACAAGTTAATAACGTACTGAATGCCATTCAACAAGAAATTGGCAGAGTCAGCAAATCATCATTGGGTTTGAGTGATATGATTGACCTGTACCTCTTTCTAGAGGCTGCCATTCTCTTGAGTTCTCTGGCTGTTTACTGATTTAGTCACAATATTTTCAATTTTGTACACGTGGTAGAGGCTTTGCATCCCAGATTCTTATGTTTTCTCAGCTCATGAAATAGCATTTCTTGATAGGAAGAAATAAAAAAATTCAATCTAGTGATTATCAACCTGGGGACCTCTGCGAATCACCAGTGGGACTTTTCAAAAAGGACACAGGCCACATTCCCCAGAGTCCCCATTGTAGGGGGCTTCTCTCTTTCAAAAAGGAGTCAAATGAAGACTGAACACCACTGGGTTCAAGTGACTTTCAAAAAAAAATTAATGAATGTTTTATTACAATGACAGAGTTTTAATATGGATTGGTACCTTAAGCATTGTTAATTAATCTTTCATAATTTATGAAGTTACATTAAAAAGGAAATGGTAATTGGACAGAGGGTCAAAGGGCTTAGAGACTGTTGAATGGCAAAAAGTAGTGTTCCCTGTGGGGTATCATAAGACTTTTATATTTTTCACCATATATTTTAGCTTTTAAATGATGAGTCTCATTTTTAAAAAATTTCTATAATTTTTAAAAAATACTACAGTGCCTACCATGTGCCATCATCATGGATTCTATGAATAAGACAGGCTAGACCCTCAAAAGCTACTTTTATTTTCTCTTAGGCAGGGAGTCTTTAATTTTTATATATATATACACCCATTTCTTAAAGCTAAAAGGTATAAGACCCAAGAAACAAAAGATTTTGGTCTTAGGGCTGACAAAAATCCATCTAGTTCAGAACTTAGTAATAGCAAAAATTCATTTTAAATTTAGTCCAGAAGGGTCCCTCTTCCTGGGATCAAATAATCTGGATTTTAATCAATAGTTCTGCTTTTACTTACTTCAAGAATGGCACAGACCAAATTACTATCATGCAATACTTATTTTCCTAATTTGATTGGGGATACTGCACAGGTGATTTCCTAAGATCTTTAAACTTTAAAAGATTTTGTGATTTTCTTTTTAGTGCAACTCCTGATATATAATCAGCTGACTTTCCCGCAGAAGAGGAAATTAAAGTGTTCAAATACCTCTAAGTCTCCACTGTGTACCCCATTAATATGGTTTCATTCTTTTTTTCCATTGGCCTATTCCATTTGGTTGAAGCTATTATATTACATTTCCCTTATTTCCAATCTAATTTTTTAATCTATTCATGATTTTTCTAGCTCCATTTTGGTTTTTTCTTTCCAATTTTCTTAATTTTAATTCATAAAACATAGAATTTACCATTTTAAAGTGTATAGTTTAGTGGCATTTAGCACATTCACAGAGTATTGTGCAACCATCACCTCTGTTCAGTTCTAAAACATTTCATTACCCCAAAAGGGGACTTCCATTATCCACTAAGCAGTTATTCCCCATTCCTTCCTCCTCCCAACTCCTGGCAACCACTGATCTGCTTTCTGTCCCTGTGGGTTTATCTGTTCTGGATATTTCATAAAAATGGAACCATATAATGTGTGTTCTTTTGTGCCTGACTTCTTTCACCGAGCATAGTGTTTTAGAGGCTTATCCATGCTGCAGCATTTATCAGTCCTTCATTACTTTTTGTGGGTGAATAATATTCCATTGTATATTTCATTGATACATACCATTCTATATATATCATTCCATTGATAGGGGCCTCATTTTGTTTATTCATTCATCTGTTAATGGACCCTGGTGAGTTTTTATGTGCTAGTGAGGAAGTTCCTAAATTGATTTTTCTCATAAACTCTACAAGGCTCGTTAAGGTAGTGTCATGGTATCAGGTGTGCCACCTAACTAACAATACCATTCATGTCCTGCAGTTAAGTAATCATTAAATGAGTTTTGAAGGACGTATAGTCAACAAAAATGAAATTTTAAATTGGTTCAGTTAATACATTTTTGGAAAATTTTGCACTAGAAGCTTCTTACTGTCTGTTCTTTGCGAGTGGCTGCTGTTGAAAAAGTTAAACTGAGGCATAATAAAATTTTAGAGTTTATTTGAGCAAACAACGATTCATGAATTGGGCAACTCCAGGCCAGAAGAGGTCTGGGGGCTCCACCAAGGGAAAGGAAGAAAGAGGCTTTGGTAGGAGGGACATTGAAGTAGAAAGAAAACATTTGATTGGTTTCAGTTACATAGTTGCCTTATTTGTTCTATCCTGTTGGAAAGTTCCTAGTTACATAATTGTAAGTTTATTGTCTGTTTCTGATTGGTTGGATTTAAGTTCTGCTTTTATTTACAAGAAATAGCTCAAGTTTTGTATGTTTGCAAATCAAGCAAGCTTGAGGTCACTTATGAGGCCTAATTGGTTATGTCTGCTCAAGGATTCTTCAGGTCTGGTCTCCAATTTAACTTACTTTAGCACTGCTAACTTGCATTCAGTTTTTGTGGTAGAAATGGTGTGCTAATACTACATTTCATCCAGGTCCCTTGGGCAGATGGAACCTCTCTGTTCCTCCATTTCTTCACATAGAAGCTTTGACTGACAGAATTATGTCTGTCCTGGTGCGCTGAAATTCTGCAGACTACTTAAAGACAGTGTAAGTGGATTGGCTATTCAGGGGAATTCTTAAACATTTAGAACAGGAACCTATAACTTGTCATCTGGTATGATGTGAAATAGTTACATGAGATGAAGACAGCAGTTAAAGTGTATGTCAATTTGTGCTTTTCTCTGATCCCCCTTTTTTTTTTTTAAAGCAATTTGTGAGGGTACACTTCATATACCCTATTTATTTTCAACTTGTTATAGTTAAAATGTATTTAGTTTTATTTTTGTCATTGTTCCCAATAATATCTGTTTGTTTCTGTCCATTCATTTATCCATCTGCCCCTGGATGATATAGTGTAAGATTAGGTAGTTTAGATGACAATTTTTAAACAATTGTAGAACTCTGAAGGAGTGAGCAAAACTGTCCTTTTGTAAGATTCTGTCTTGTTTTCTGTTTTTGGTATGTTTGTGCTCTGGGTTACAAAAATCTAATCTCCATTTCATTTCCTCAACTGCATTATAAATTTGTAAGCAAAATTCTGCTTTGGTAGATAAAAACTGCAAGAAAACATTTGGGTAATTTTAAATCTAATACTTTTTTTTTTTTTTTTTACCGTTGCAAACAGAAGTTCTTTTTTCCGCTATTTCTCTCCACATTTTCTCCAGATTTATTCACTGTCCACCTTTCCCTCTTTACCCCCACAGAAGACCTGTTCCGGGATCAGGATGATTTCCATTCATTGTTCAGAAAAGAATAAAGTTCTTGTCATATGAATTTTACTTTCGAATTTTTTTGTCTAGATCTACCATGGTCTTTTTTTCTCTAACCCCTCTTGTGCATTCAAATTGGTGTTCTGTAGATCAGAAGTTCTCATATCTGAGCATGAATGAGAATCACCTGGGGAACTTGTTAAATATGTAACAGTTTCCATCCCCACTCCTAAGGATTCTGATTCTCCAGATCTGCGATTGGCTCAGGAGTTTGCATTTTAAAAAGCACACTAACAGTTGTGATTTCTGTGCTGTGGGTAACACTGTAGTTAGGGCTTCATAGAACTTGATGTGATGTTTCATTGAATCTGTAATGCCATAGTTTGCAAGGTACACTAATATTTTATATACTACTAAGAAACAAAAATGTAGTTATAAGCCTCAGCCTGGGGTTAGACATGTTAAAATGAGGGAAGCGGTGTGCACCTTGAAATCAATAAAATAGGAGGTTAAATGCCTAAGGAACCAGAGGCCCCTCTTACTATCTTACAGGGTTATTATGAGACATAGGAGGTACAAGATTAAGAA